GGTTTGAGCCCTATACCAAGCAAATTAAGCCTACAACTAGGATTGGTTCTTTCAAGTGCTGAAGATCGAGTCTTGAGTTATGATGAGATGGAGATAGTGGAAGTAGTTTCTGCTCAGGTGGCTGTGGCTTTGTCCCATGCAACTGTTCTTGATGAGTCTCAGACAATGAGGGAGAAAAGTAGAATTGAGAAATTGTGTGCTGCAGCAGGCTAAAGACTAAATATAATGCTATGAAGGCAAGCCATACAAGGACTTTGTTTCAGAAGGTGATGAACAATGGAATGCGGCAGCCGATGCACTCAATTTTGTGTTTGCTCTCCATATTTCAAGATGAGAAAGCAAGCTTTGACCAGAAGATTTTGTAAACAATATAGTGAAAACACACACTTTTCTCTCCATATTGACAAATGTTGTGATAGCAATATCTTCCAAAGATGATGGAAGGTTTCCAGTAGAAATGAGTCACTTTCAGTTACATTTACCGGTCAGGGAGACTTCTTGTCTTGTTAAGTGCTTGTGTATCTATAAGGGCTTTGGATTTTCTACAGGTGTTCTTACTTATTTGCCTAATCAGGTGACGGGTGATGAGAAGAGAACATTTTAAGTTTTGTTACATATGGTAGGACATCTGTTAAAAATCAGCATTAGAAAGGGCTCTGTTATATTTGGAGTGGTTTTAGAGACTGGAGCTGATTGTGGGAATGACAGTTTGGGGTACAAGAAAATAATGCACAACAGATGAATGTGTGACCATATAATTATATATTGAGGTTAGTTTTGAAGGCTTTCAATCAGATAGCTCAATCTCCACCATTCATTTTTGTGGAAGAAGGCGTAACATCAGGGAGGTGATGGAGGGCTGGAGTTTCAGCATTTGCAAGAAGATTGTCCAGGTTAGAATACATGCTGGTGTTTTCCTGATTGACCTTGTCAGTATGTTCTCATTTAAATTAGTTTATATATTGTAGATCTTGATCATGTATAAGTACTGTTCATGGCTTGTGTGATATACATACATGCTGCCATGTAGGTCTGCGTGTAGGTATTGATTAGGGAATGACAGAGTTTGGGTCAAACTGAAATTCAATTTGTTTGGATTTTCGGATACCGATTGGATTTTGGATTTAACTTCTAAAATATTCAGATTTTCGATTTCTGACTTTGGATTTTCAGATCTGAAAATCTAATTTGTTTTTATACCTTATATTTATCCTTAGATATTAGACAAGCCCATGTACCTAATATTAAGTCCAATACCCTACTAAATCAGTCAATGTACCTTATTAGGCTGATGGATAGTGCAAACTGAGGTTTATTCACCGTGACAGTGTTTTTCATTCTTATTTGAGGAGTTGTGGGTTTTGGCACTGGGTCCTTATGGAAGCATATTAATTGATATATAAATCACATAGAAATATAAGGATTGAGTAATGTTGAATTGAATATGAACTGGTAGTAGTATGATCTATCTATACATGGTTTTACTTTATTTAGATTAGAAATTTCTTTTATAATGGTTTCATTGTTTGAATGAATATTTTATTTGGATGATTGTCGTGTGAATGAGAAATTATTTAAGACAATTTGACATGAGTACTTTACTAGGATGTTTATTTTTGCAAGAAGAAGAAACTCCACTTACAATCTCAACACCAAAAATCTGAAATAATCAAATACATTAATCTGAAACCGGACTTACGCAAACTGATCAATCGAACTTATTTGGATTGGAATTGGATATTAATTTCTTAAATCCGAAAATCGAAAATCCAAACCAAAGTCTTCATATCCAATCCGAACACCCACCCCTAGTGGGACGGGATGGGACGAATTTTTATCCCCCCAATCCCGGTCCCCCCAAAATCCCGGCCAAGGAGTCCCCTGTCCCGTCCCCTCCCCCAGTCCCCGTCTCTGTCCCCTTGCCAGCCCTAGTCTATCTTAATAAATTACTGCACTAAAAACTTTGCAATTCTAAAGTAAATATTCAACACTCCTTGCTTTAGGAGCTGCAAAATTTTGGTCTTCTATCTTGGGATCTCCATTGCTAACTGAAAGTGACTTTGTGAATAAATGTGCAGATTCATCTTTGGCCTTGTACTGAACTAAATTCACTTCTCGTCTTGAATGCAACCCTTGACTACTAAACCTTTTTGGCATGTCTTCCTGTTTCCTTTGCATCTTGAATTTAAACTTGCCCATTTTATTTTCATGAAACATAGATAACTCCTCCATTGCTTCAATTTCTTTGGGAACATTGAAAGATCCTTTAAACTTAGCTGGTTCACATTTTGCTTGTGCTTTTCATATGGAGGATCATCTTCTAATTTTTCCAGCCTATGATCTTTCATGTTCTACAGGAACATCTTTCATTGGATCAAATGAGAAATGTCTACCTATCATCTTGCTGTTTAAAACTTATTTTTTCAACACCATCATTGATGAAAATGTTTATCCTCAAAGGATACTTTGTATCCTATTTCTATCAACTTACAAATACTCCACAAATTCTGATCAATATCTACATAAGAACATCTGAAATTGCCTTATTACATGAACTTGTTTTGATGACAACCGTTCCTTTTCCTTCCACAAGAATCTGGTCACTGTTTTTGGATATTTCAGTAGGCTTTAATTTTTTAAACACACTCTTGTCATAAGTCATGTAGTTAGTGCAACTGCTATCAATCTACCAAAAATTTGATGAAATCTTACTTGAGATACATGTTGCAACAAAAAGATTGTCTTCTTCTTTTTCTTCATTGACCACACATGCATTTGCTTCATGGTTCTCAAATTTGTTTTCGCAAATCACTGCTTCATAGCCTAGTTGATTGTACTTGCTGCATTCGTGTCTGGCCTTCTCCAACATCTGTTATGGTGGATGATTCATTTTTCCACAATGCTCACAAGGTGGGTAATTTTTCAAATTTTTACCCCTGCTTTGAGTTTTATGGCTGACTGCTAAGGCTCCTTCAACCATACCATCTTGCCTCACAAAGTCTCTTTTGCTCCTGTGCCGGAAAAGAATTTAACAACTCTGCCAAGGTAATGTTGGACAGATCTTCGTGTATTTTCCAAGGTAGTTAGTTATACATGCTTCATATCTTTCGGTTATGTAACTGAAAATTTTTCAACAATTCTTGAATCTTTAAATTCAGTGCCTAGTAATCTTACCTTGTTAACAATGTCAAGCAATTTTTCCGAGTATTCCTTGACTATCTCAGAGTGTTTCATTCTCTGCAACTCATACTCTTTTATTTAATTCAATACTTGCATTCCTTGAATTCTTTCATCTCCAGCATATTCTTTCCGTTTAATCATTTCTTTTGGTGATGTGAGGGACATAATCTTGTGAAAATAGTTGTTGAAACAGCAGCAAATGGAGTTGCTTTCGCATTATTTGGCAGCGAATTGTCAACTAAGGCTTGGACTGATGGAAATAAATCACCTAGTGTTTTTGCTTCCACTGGGTTTTGCACACGAGACCTCGTGGTTCTCAACCTGCTTCCTGGACCACTAGGCCATACCCTTGAATGCAAAAGATGTACACTAGATGTTAGTTAGCTTCATTTTAGTTCCTAATGTGAAACTAGATACAAGCATCTTCATGCAAAAAGTCACTGGATAGATATGTAGCGCTCACATCTGCTTGCATCAGATGTGGTGTGAGAGGGAGAGAGAGAGGTGGAGGATTTGCTATATATGAGAATGAAAGATGTGTTCGTAAGGATGCAGCTAAAGATGTTGCCTTCATTTATCTGGTTTGTGGCAGTGACCTTGTATCTCTTTGCTGGTTTGTGGCAGTGACCTTGTATCTCTTAAACTAAATCCAAAGTGAGCAGGGAAAGTTCAGGATGTCTTCTTTGGGTCAGAAAAGTTCCGGATTTCTTCTCTTGAAAATGATATTAGCAGAACTTAAACGGAACTCCTGCATGTACCTTGAGCAAATGACACACATTTTAGAGCATTAATGGGTGATAGAGGGAACCCCGTACTTGTAAGTTGTAGGTATATGTTAAATTAGCTAAATAGGAAGGTTGAAGAAGAAAATTCACTGGTTGAGCTTCTGAGAGATCAATTTTCTGTCTAGGTTTTTTTTTTGAGGAACAAGTAACTTTTTTTAAAAAAAATTTAAGCCATCACCATCACAGCTTAAAGCAATTAGGCGTGGGGGGTTTGGCGAGGAACAGGTAACTGATTTTCTGTCTAGGTTTAATGTGACAAAAATAGTAGTCTCTGACTATGAACAGGTGCTATACTACTTTTAGATACTCAAATTATACATTACTCATCATGTGTTTCAGATATTTACCGTCACTCCCTCTTTATCATATATAACTTCCAATGCAATTGGTACTCCTTTCAGCCTTGGGCTTCTGCAGACAGCACTGCTACATGTTGTCCTTTACCTTCTTATTCTTAACATTGGGAACTTCAGTGTTTGGGATTTAAGTTGTATTTGCTTTCACTGAATGAACCTTCATAAGAACTGTGTAAAATAAAGGAGTGCATTCAGTATGACTCCATGCTCTCTGTCAAGGCAACACCCTGTAAACAAATCGGATCTGTCAATTGTTCAAGATGATTGTTTTCATGGTGTGACTACAGAACATGTGATTTTGAAATTATAACATCCATGTTTTTCAATGTAAAGTTGTGAATGTCATTGTAGTCTGCTTTTGTTTATTTAACTGCCCCCTACCATGGCTGCAGCTAGTGTGAACATGGGACCCGCCATTTTTTTCCTTTTGTAAGAATTTCATCCTTAGAATTGATGATTTCTCTTGATTTTTGTTGTATTATTGTATAAAGTTTTTAGATGCTGCTTATGATGTTAAAAAATAATCCAAACAAGAAGACTATTTTGTCTTTAGTTTCCTTGCCTCTGCTATTTGAAGTGGTAAATTGGTTAGTGAAAGTAATGAAATAATAGCCTGGTTACCATATTGCTTACTCTGACCTGTATTTTTTTTTTTTTGCATAAAATTTTCGGATGATAGGGAAATATATGGATGTCCTCGAATGCCCAGGGCCACGTGCAAGTGATGACACTCATTCTGAGATTTCAAAAACAGTCATCTTTTAGGAAACACATGTTTGAATATAGAAACCCTTTGGAGCAACCAATTTCCGTCACAATGTTCAGAAGCTTTTGTGTAGTCCTTGCTGATGATAACAACAAGAAGACACTGAATGATGTAATAGACTGGTAACCAGAAAGTGTATCAACTGGTTTTCAGTGCCTGAGTGCTCTAGGCCCTGCCCTAACAACCTTTCAAGTTGTCAGCATGGGATCTTCAAATGCCAGAAATGGATGGATTTGTGAAGTGGCATTGAGGGTGCATAAATTCCGCAGCCGTAGTTGGCCTTTGATCATAGCCCTGACTGCTAGTTCAGAGGAACAAGTATGGTATCTGCCTACAGGTGGGAATGGATGGTCTAACAAGGAAACATGTTCTCCTACATGGCTTAGCCAATGAGCTTCAACGACTCCTTCAAAGGGGTGTATGGTGATGATGGCTTGTGAGGTGTAGTACTAGTGGTGAAAAACAAACTTAAGAAGGGTCCTAAACACCATAATATCATACACCTTTATGGAGATTGCATTACATCTTTGTTTGATGAAACCAGCTTCTTACTAACATAGGTCTGCTTGCAATTTAGTTCTCCTCATATGTTGAAGTGAAATATGTCAAGCTAGTGGTATGGGTTCCATCATTTTTTTCCCCAAGAAACCTTGTGGAACTCTCAAGCTTGAATATTGCACCTGTCACATTGTTAGTTTTGGTTACATAGTAAACTTGATTAGTCCTTTTCTATAACCATGGTGTTCAGGCCAACATGTGCTTACTTCGACTAGTCCACCAAGTACCTATTACCTCCTCCATCAAACATGTGTTGTGTAACTTCCAACCAAATATACTTTTTAGTTCTCGATTTATTGGCCCTTTTGAAATTGTCGAGAAGATTGAGAAAGTAATTTATGAACTGAACTTGTCACCTGAGATGGATAGAAATGACATATAAAAAAAGTAGAGAGAATTAGCTTGGATTTATAAGTATTACCGAAACTAAGATCATCATTAAGACAATTCAAAATATATAAAGAAGTAAACACGTGAAGAAATCAAAGAGAATTTTACATTTAATATTAATCTCTTTCGTGACCACTCGAAACACGGATTATTTCACTAGTATATATATAACTACAATTTTAACTTTGCATCCAATTTTATTTTTCTGTGAAGAAATGCACCTTCTAGCTTCTGACATTGTTTATAAGTAGAGATATCGAAAGAGGAGGTTGTCAAGACCAAGTTATAATTCAAAACTAATCAATGAACCATAGATGAAAAGGTTTTTCTTTCACATAGGCCACTTTGAGCCACCCTAAACGATTTACGTTGAGAAGGATAAAGAAACGAACCCATCATTTCCGAGTCTCAAAAGTTGAGCTCAGTCCTAAAGATTGGTACCTAACGAATTTCTTTGTAAACAATGATTTCAATCTCATGCACATCATAGTAACTCAAATTTTGGTAGATTATAAACTCATACATCAAACAATAAAGAGTAAAAAATACCTTTCAACATTTGCAACTAAGACAAGATTTTTGATCCTTTTCTATTTAAATTTTAATCGGTCTTTAATATATCGATAATCTCTCAAGCTTGTCATTAAATTTTATTCAATCATTTTAATTATTATGTGTCCTAGTAAAAACCACGGTGATATGTGCGTCGACACTATTTTGACCAAATTTTTTTTGAGTGTTCGTGACGATCTATTTAATGACGTGTATCGATTCGAAGAGGTAAATGTAAATTTTTTCAAATTCAAACAAATCTCAGAACAGACACAATAACAATGTTTTTATGAGTGTGTTGTCAAGTGCCAATTACATTTGCAGGTAACAAAAATATATCCCTTTTTAATTATACACATTCACCTCAATGAGTCATATATTCCGACCTCCAAACCACAAACGTAAAAGAGAGGATTTTGAGAAGTTTGAGAGAGGAGGAGGAGTCATGGGAGAAGAAATTATGGCAGCGGCAAACTACTATTCGAAGGACTTTGAATGGGATCAACTTCGGCAAGAGATTGAAAATAATCCTTCTCTTGCTCACCATTTGCTTCCTTTTCCTAATTCTTCTATCACCCAAAATCAACATACCCTTTTGTCTTTTCCACTTTCTATATGTTCTCCGCAGGAAGATTCTGAAGCATGGAACAAGTTCCACACTCGCCATTCCACTGGAAAATTCTTCAAGGTAAGTAATAATTCACTGTTGATGTTGGTAGTGTCGACTCGAGCTTGTATTTGTGTATGATCGGCATCATTAGTTAAATGTGAAATACTAGTAGCCATGAATGTTAGAAACAATCTGGTGAACTTGGTGTGATGTTAAAAGAAATTTGAAGGTTTGACAAGTGTTTGTGTTAGTACCAAACAAACTATGGAACCGTCTGATGACTGAGAACTCGCACCTTGGGCTTCACATTGGATTGTTAGATAGCTGATTCAGTCTCAAGGTTTGCTTCCAATTCTAAGATCTTGTGCATTGTGTCTCAAATGTACACTTGTGAACTTTGAAACTCATAAAATTTCCGGTTGGAGGATACAGTTGTAAAAATCTTTGTACTTGAAGGATTATTTATACTGTGTACTTTTACTTAGGTTGGAGGATACAGCTGTACCAGCAATGTTCTTTTCGAGATACTATTCTGTGCACAATTTGTTGGCCCAGATTCTCTGTACCAGAGCCTATGTTTGTGCACGTACTCAATTCTGTAGGCCAGGTCTATTAATTGATCCAATACTTAAGATCTTTACTGCTGAAGTAGTTGGTCTATGCTCCTTCTCTTTTTCTTTTTCTTTTGATATGTAAGGTCCATGATCTTTGAGCTCATGGGTTTGCTATTTTTAGTATTGTCTTTACTAGAAATAGTATGGAACGGATCTAGGATTTCAAGTTCATGGGTGCACCACTAAAGAAAGAAAGAAAAATAATGTACTAAGCGGTAATTGATCCTCGTTCCTTGAGATAAATAACTCAGCATTCAATCAAGTGCACCATTCAGCCCTTTTGGAGCATGTGTGCCAACACACAATATTATGTTGATTCTAGAAAATATGTACATACAATACCTAGTTTGGCGGATAGACCATGGTTCACGTGCACCTCTATTTCTAGAGTAGATCCGTCCCTGCTTCAAGGTTTTATGATTGGATCAAGATTTGAAATTAGATCCTTCTCTAGCTAACTCCACTGCTATGCTTGCTTCCAACCCTTTGTACTTCATACATCGAACATATGCTAGTATAATTCCTGGGTGGCAGATGAGGACCTAGGCAGGAAATAGATAAAGTGTGGTACATTACTACATTAAAGAGCAAAGTACTGCATTTTCAGGAAATCCAATATGAAGAAATTTGCTCAAACTAATTATGAAATATGATCACGGCTATGCAAGCATAGCTCATTTGCCAAGATATGCACCATCAAACCCTAATTTCAGGCTCATAACATGAGTGGCTAGTTTTAGTATTTTTATTACCAGAATGTTGTGCCTCAAGACTTGAAGTTTTGAACCTTGCGCCTAAAGGCAGTTGAGATTGGATCCATAGACATCTGGCTTAGCCACTAGGACTTGCTTTTAATCCTAGAGACCTCGTGTCTCGTACCTTGAACCTATGACTATAAAAGATTCTTGGAGTTGCCATGGGAATAGACTTTGATGCATAACTCAGATATGGACTTAGGTAGGAGTAAGTGAGAGGATGGACCTTTGGAGATAGTTTCATCTGAGAAGGTGTATATTACAATTTACAATACCATCTTGACAGTGAGCTCGCTTCACAGCTACTATGGAGAGATTGAGTTATGATAGGAATGCTCTTCTAGAGATAGATAAAGACCCTATCCAAGGATGATGCTCATAGTATGCTCTGTTGTCTAAGTCTAATCAGCCCAAAAGTTATGTTAGTTGGATTTCGATTTTGGGTCCACTAGTGAATCAAACATACTTAGCTATAACTCCGCTACTGATGCTCCCATATTCATATGTAGAGAAGCTTCTGAATTTGGAAGCAGTTTAGAAGTTGATCGTTGAAACACACTGGCTAAGTTATCCACAGAGCTCAAAGCTCCATATTTTTCATTCTCCTGACTATGCACCCCACTGCCTATACAACCTTTTACAACCATCTTTAATAATTCCATTCTCTCTTGGGTGTATGGCCATGCTAGAGCTCATCTCCATAGTTTTGAGGTCCATTTTTGTTCTGAGTCAAAACAGATTCATTCCCTATGAATCTCATCCCAATATTTGAACCTCAAAGCTCATTGAAAGCACTTATACCTTTAATAGTGACATCCTTGCAAATTCTAGTTGTCTTCTACAAAGTCTAACTTTATTCATCACATAAACTACAACGAATATGTATTTGGTATGAAAAACTATGAATTGAGTGGTATGATAGAAGGAGCTATGATATGAGAGGAATATTATGAGGAGTTATGACTTGAAAGATAAGATATGAGGAGCTATAGAAAAAGCGGTAGCACACAACAGTAATGACAAAGAGGTACAATAGGAAGCTAAGGGTAAAAGCTATAATATGGAAACAAAGGCAAGGAAACTAAGGTATGAAAGCTGCATGCTAGACTAAGGAAGTGAAACACTAGGAGGGAAAGTGTCATACTTGAAAGGAAGACCCAAGAGCTCATTCCCATGTCTCTAGGGGCTGTGTGAATGAACAAACTATGCCCTTCTTCTCACTCTTATATGGGATGGTCTTGGCGTTATGGTCATTTCGCTTAATACAACCATGATTTGGCATTTCAAGTAAAGATCCAAGAAAGTATTCATACCAATTTATCGTATTACTTCCACATTTAGAAGTTTCTTCACATTTTGATGTTGGGGCTTTTCGTCATTACTAGATTTGAGGTTGGACTACGGCTAGCTCCATGAGTTTAAGATTGTGGTCCCACTTAACTTGATGACTCAAATCTCAAGTTTTGGACCATTAAGAAGACCTAGTTCAGAAAACAAAGTATGTGTACAAATCTAGGGTTTGATGTTTACTATCTTGCCAACAAGTTACACTTCAATGGTCGGCATTGTATCACTTGTAGAACATTTCTCTCCCAGGAAAATCTGATAAAAGCATGGTCTCTGCTCACAATGGTAGACAATATGCAAATGTTTTCTCTTCGGAAGCTCTATATTCCCTCCCTTTTCTTTCCAAGTTCTCCTTTGACTTGGGCATTGAAGCTTAATTCATGAGGCTAAGTCGGTGTCTAATGAGTTTCACTCATTATAAGTATGCATTTGAGGTCTAGGTTCCACAGTCTATAGGATTGAAAACAAGCTTTGGCAGCTGAGTTACCAGGGATTCAATCTCAAGTCCAGAGGTGCGAATTCCAAGACATCAAGTACTGAGGTTCCAGTTTCAAGTTTTGTGCTACTTTTAAGACTACTAGTGTTCATGTCTCAGATAATTAGCAAAGTATTGTACTGGTAGATTTTTTGTGGAATATTTTCTTACACACCGATGAAAAACTAGAAGGTGACTAAGGGAAAAACCTTGCTCTTCCCAATTATCAAAATGGAAAACGAAAGTGAGGTTTTAAATATTTTGGTTTTGTCTGTCACAACTTCTACGTTACTACTACTAGAATGTGGTACATCAATGATCCCTATGCTTTTGTAGCATAAGAACGTATAGCAAGTTTAAGAAGATAATTTCTTGCTAAAAAAGAGACAGAAGTGCAAGGTTTATTTTTCTCATATGTCAACTAGAATGAGAGCTGAGGCATCTGCTCATCGCTATTGCTTTGTCTGTAAATCTCTACTTTTAAACTTATCTATTATTGCTTCAACTGACATCATCATGTTATGTCTTTCAAGACTAATGGTCATCATCTGCTTGTTTCGGTATTTATTTTTGGTTGCATATTTCAGTACTTTGATCTTATCGACAGTTGCAGCAAGAAGAGCAAGTTTTTCCTTAAAACTTGTTGAAAAACCTATATTCCACTTTACATTATTTCCTCAACGTAAGTTCTTCCATGTAGGAGCGTCGGTACTTGCTTAAGGAATTCCCAGAGCTAGCCTCTTGCAGGGACTGCTCGACAGTTTTGGAGATTGGATGTGGAAATGGTAGTACAGCTCTGGCAATACTACGGTGAGGAAGAACTTCAGTTGCCTTGAGTGACTTAATTATTTAAACACTTTTAGGCTGAGGTAGTTTACTACGAAAATTCTCTTTCAGTAAGGTACATAATTATAAGCCACTAGTCCTATTATTACATGCTGTTAGCTACGGTCCTTTGCTTCGGTTACCAAGTTATTTGTTGTTGCTATCGTTCTCTTTCTCCTTTATTTTTAGCATGGTTTCTTCATCAATGTATTTCCTTTTCGTACTTGATTTTGATATGCTTTACTTGAACCGAGGGTCTATCTTAAACAACCTATCTACCTTCACAAGGGACGGACCCACATGGTGTCCTCCGGGTGCTCGAGTACCCATTAACCTCGTCTCAGAATATATATATATAGGAAAAACGACAAATTTACCCCCGAACTTTGATAAATAGTACATCTATGCCCTCCGTATTTGCGTCCATCTCAGCCCCTGCCGTCCAATTATCGGTGCACATATGTCCCTCTCACTAACGGCACCCACATTCTTTACATGTGGCTAAATCCTAAGCAACTACCCGGTTTTCCATTTCTATTAACCCATAAACTAAGAACCCGCCCCATAAACCCAATACCCACCCGATTTGTATCTAAAATATCCTAAGTCAAAATTAAAAGACCCAAATATTCTAAGTCTCTTTCGTATCTCACAAACCCTAGCCTTCATATTCCATAGTTCGTTGGTCGATTCCACCATGTTTTCATCGATTCCATCGTGTGTTCTTCATATCACTGAGATCCGGTCGGAGGTACCCACGATTTCACGCTGTTCATTTCACATATATTGTTTTTCTGTTTTCGATTTTCATCCGTAGGTAGTAAAGAAATGTGTTGTTCGTCATATCTTTGAGATCCGGTCGGAGGTATCCCGATTTGTATCTAGAATATGCTTTTTATAGTTAAAATGTAGGGGTTTGTTCACTTTCTAGGGTTTCACTTTAGAGTCTTAATCTTTTACGCGGTTTGTTAGGCTTTATGTTAAAAAAAATAAAAATTGTTTGTATTTAGATGTGTTGGGTTGGTAGTGTCGTTTTTTGTTCCTTTTGTCTCCTTTGTGTTTAGATGCTTTTTGTCTCTTTGTGTTTATGCCCTTTCTTCATGCTTTTATGTTGTAGGTCCATAAGAAATAATTGATAGTTATTAATTTCATTCTAACTGTAGGACCACTTGTTTAATTGTTAACTAGTTTAATATTATTTTAGTTAGTTCATTTGTGAGTACTTATTAGGGACTGACTTACTAACTGATGTACTTGTTAAATAATTCTCAAGTCTAATTTTCGTAACTTAATAACTAATAACTGCAGCTTACTTAAATGAATTACTAACTGTGACGTACTAACTAACTAAGGTAACTTGCTTATATGACTTACTATGTGGCTGTGACTTGCTAACTTACTATGTGAATGTTACTTACTAACTAATTCCTAATTGACTTAATAACTAACTAATGTGACTTACTTATCAGACTTACTAACTGTGACTTGTTATTAACTTGTGTTATTTACTAACAATGTGACTGCCTTATGCTTACTAATGTGACTTACTTATATGACTTACTAAATGTGACTTAATGATTAATTAACTTACTTTAATCTTAATGTGACTTAATGACTAATTTAACTTGTGTTATTTACTAACAATGTGACTGCCTTATGCTTACTAATGTGACTTACTTATATGACTTACTAAATGTGACTTAATGATTAATTAACTTACTTTAATCTTAATGTGACTTAATGACTAATTTAACTTGTGTTATTTACTAACAATGTGACTGTCTTATGCTTACTAATGTGACTGACTTGAGTTACTTGTTACTGTTATTTACAAACTAATTCCTAATTGACTTAATAACTAACTAATGTGACCTAATACTTACTTATTTCCTATTGTAGCTTGTGTTATTTACTAACAATGTGACTCCTTATGCTTACTAATGTGACTGACTAAGTTACTTGTTAAATTTTGTAAGACTTAAGTAATTCCTTATTGACTTAACTGACTTAATAACTAACTAATGTGACTTACTTATATGTCTTACTAAATGTGACTTAATGACTAATTAACTTACTTTAATCCTAATGTGACTTAATGACTAATTAACTTGTGTTATTTACTTACAATGTGACTGAATTGTGTTACTTGTTATTATGTGATTTTTACTTTCTAACTAATTCCTAATTGACTTAATAACTAACTAATGTGACCTAATACTTACTTATTTCCTATTGTAACTTATTTGTGTTATTTACTAACAATGTGACTGCCTTATGTTTACTAATGTGACTGACTGAGTTACTTGTTAAATTTTGTAAGACTTAAGTAATTCTTAATTGACTTAATAACTAACTAATGTGACTTACTTATATGACCTACTAGATGTGACCTAAGTTGCTCGGACTCGGGTGCGGGTATCCGAGACGGATGCGAATCCGAGAGTCGGATTCGGCAAAATTTTAAATTTTTAAGATTCGGGGGGTGCGAATCCAAGTATGGATACGGGTGCGGGGATTCGGCTAAAATTATTCAATATTATAAAATATAGTTATAATGATAATAATAATAATAATAATAATAATAATAATAATAATAATATTAAATATCTTATAAAATGCTATACTTAAAAGTATATCAATTATAGATATACAAATTTAAAAGTATAAATTAATTACTTGTTACTAATTAATTTAAAAAAAATTATAATTCCTTTTATTTATTATAAAAAAAATCATTTATTTATATATATATATATAGAGTCTAATTTAAATTAGATAGTAGTACAATTCATTAAAGTTCTGTGTGCTGCCCTTTCTTCTCCCAAGAACGCCCTTTCTTCTCCCAAGAAACCCTAGCCTGCTCTTTTCCTTTCCAAGAAAAAAAGCTTTCTCACTGCTTTTTCAAGAAAAAAAACTTTGAATTATTTATTCTTTCCCATGGAGCCCCTTCGCCTCCTCTGTACAAGAAAAAAGATCTGTCTGCTCTCTCTCACTATTCTTGTAAGCTTTGCCTCTTCATTATTCTTTTCCATGGAGCAGCTAGACGTGACAACTTCGTCGTCATCAACTTTCGCCGGCCATGAAACTGATCTCTTCCCCATTTTTTTTCTCGGCTTTGGTCAAAGTATCCGGATCGGATTGACCGAATCCTACACGCACCCCGCACCCGCGCCCGCACCAGTGTCGCGTCGAGACGGGTTCGGCCGCAAAAATGAAGAGTTCGCGCAACATAGGATGTGACTTGTTAAATTCTCTAAGTCTGACTTATGCTTACTAATGTGACCTAATACTTTACTTATTTCCTATTGTTACTTACTTATGTTATTTACTAACTCTTTGTAAGTTATTAACATGGTTGAAGTTACCATATACTTTAATCATGGTGGTGAGTGGCTAACCAGTCTAGAATCACATTATGACAAAGGATGGGTTCATTATTGGAGAGAGTATGGTCCTGATCTTATATCTTTAATTGACTTAGTGAATGAGTACACAGATAAGTTAGGATTTGTTGGTGTGCAAGAACTTATTGTACTTGCTCCAACTTGGAAATATTTTGAAATAGTAGGTGATGAAGGAGTTAGGACCTTAACATCTTTTATCTTTACTGATTATAAATCTATTCATTTGTTTGCTACTGAGGACTGTGAATTATCTGGTTATGTACCTGATATTGTCATACATGATGGATCATTTTTACTTTCACCAATTGTTAATTAAGGCACAGACTATAGTGAAAGTGAAAGTGACAGTAATAATGGAATGGTGTTTAGTTGTTCAGATTATGATACAAATGAATTAGAAAATTTTGTTACTAAAATAAAGAGGAATATAACTGATAGTTTGCAAGATTATAAGGAGATTGTTAAGGCTATAGCCTTCAAGGACATAGCTGAAGCAAAACAGTTCTATAAACTTAATGTTAAAAAAAAAACAGTTCTATAAACTTTATGCTCTAGCTAAGAAGGTAGAACTAGTTGTGGTGAAGAGTGATAAAAAAGATTGATGTATACATGTGTTGCTGAAGGTTGTCAATTTTACTTCTTATTTCTAGGGATCTGACCACCCCTGGTGTTAGTGTCAAAACACTAGTAGATCATATAGAGTGTGGAACAACATGTGACAACTCTTTAGTGGATTACTCAACAATAGCTTTGTATTTTAAGGACAAATTGCAAAGTGACCCTAAGGCATATTGTTGGTGGACCACTTTGCAATTTGTCCTTAAAATACAAAGCTATTGTTGAGTAATCCACTAAAGAATTGTCATATGTTGTTCCACACTCTATATGATCTTCTAGTGTTTTGACACTAACACCAGGAGTGGTCAGATCCCCAGAAATAAGAAGTAAAAATGGACAACCTTCAGCAGCACATGTATACCACAATCTTTTTTATCACTCTTCACCACAACTAGTTCTACCTTCTTAGCTAGAGCATAAAGTTTACAGAACTGTTTTGCTTCAACTATGTCCTTGAAGGCTATACCCTTAACAATCTCCTTATAATCTTGCAAACTATCAGTATATTCCTCTTTTTTTTTTAGTAACAAATTTTTTTAATTCATCTGTATCATAATCTGAACAACTAAACACCATTCCATCATTACTGTCACTACAGTTTGTGGCTTTATTAACAATTGGTGAAAGTAAAAAATGATCGTACATCAACAGATAATTCACAGTCCTCAGTAGCAAACAAATGAATATATTTATAATCAGTAGAGATAAAAGATGTTAAGGTCCTAACTCCTTCATCACCTACTATTTCAAAATATTTCCCAGTTGGAGCAAGTACAATAAGTTCTTGCACACCGACAAACCCTAACTTATCTATGTACTCATTCACTAAGTCAATAAAAGATCATACCCTCTCCAATAATGAACCCATCATTTGTCATAATGTGGTTTTGGACTAGTTAGCCACTCACTACCATGATGAAAGTATATGGTAACTTCAACCATGTTAATGACCTACAAAGAGTTAGTAAATAACATAAGTAAGTAACAATAAGTATTAGTAAGCATAAGTCAGACTTAAGAGAATTTTAACAAGTCACAGCTAGTAGGTCACATTAGTCAATTAGGAATTACTTAAGTCTTACAAAATTTAACAAATAACTCAGTCAGTCACATTAGTAAACACAAGGCAATCACATTGTTAGTAAATAACACAAGCAAGTTACAATAAGTAAGTATTAGGTCACATTAGTTAGTTATTAAGTCAATTTGGAATTAGTTAGTAACAGTCACATAGTAACTCAAGTCAGTCACATTGTTAGTAAATAACACAAGTTAATTATTCATTAAGTCACATATGAATTAAAGTAAGTTAATTAGTCATTAAGTTACATATAAGTAAGTCACATTAGTTAGTTATTAGGTCAATTAGGAATTACTTAAGTCTTACAAAATTTAACAAGTAACTCAGTCAGTCACATTAGTAAGTATAAGACAGTCACATTGTTAGTAAATAACACAAGTAAGTTACAATAGGAAATAAGTAAGTATTAGGTCACATTGGTTAGTAAGTAACTCAAGTCAGCATTAGTAAGCATAAGGCAGTCACATTGTTAATAAATAACACAAGTTAATAACAAGTCACGGTTAGTAAGACAAGTTAATTAGTCACATTAGGATTAAAGTAAGTTAATTAGCCATTAAGTCATATAAGTAAGTCACAGACACATTAGTAAGCATAAGGCAGTCACATTGTTAGTAAATAACACAAGTTAATTAGTCACATTAGGATTAAAGTAAGTTACATTAGTAAGCATAACACAGTCACATTGTTAGTAAATAACACAAGTTAATAACAAGTCACGGTTAGTAAGTCTGATAAGTAAGTCACATTAGGATTAAAGTAAGTTAATTAGTTATTAAGTCACAGACACATTAGTAAGCATAAGGTAGTCACATTGTTAGTAAATAACACAAGTTAATTAGTCATTAAGTCACATTAGGATTAAAGTAAGTTAATTAGCCATATAAGGCAGTCACATTGTTAGTAAATAACACAAGTTAATAAGGAAAATAAGTAAGTCACAGACACATTAGTAAGCATAACGCAGACACATTGTTAGTAAATAACCCAAGTTAATTAGTCATTAAGTCACATTAGGATTAAAGTAAGTTAATTAGTCATTAAGTCACATTAGTAAGCATAAGGCAGTCACATTGTTAATAAATAACACAAGTTAATAACAAGTCACAGTTAGTAAGTTTGATAAGTAAGTCACATTAGTTAGTTATTAAGTCAATTAGGGATTAGTTAGTAAGTAACATTCACATAGTAAGTTAGTAAGTCACAGTCACATAGAAAGTTAGTAAGTCGCAACCACATAGTAAGTCATATAAGCAAGTTACCTTAGTTAGTTAGTAAGTCACAGTTAGTAATTCATATAAGTAAGCTGCATTTATTAGTTATTAAGTTACAAAAATTAGACTTGGGAATTATTTAACAAGTAACTCAGTTAGTAAGTCAGTCCCAAATAAGTACTCACAAATGAACTAACTAAAATAATATTAAACTAGTTAACAATTAAACAAGTGATCCTACAGTTAGAATGAAATTAATAACAACTATCAATTATTTCTTATGGACCTACAACATAAAGGCATGAAGAAAGGGCATAAACAAAAAGCATCTAAACACAAGGGAGACAAAAGGAACAGAAAACGACACTACCAACCCAACACATCTAAATACAAACAAAAAATACATTTTTTTAACATAAAGCCTAACAAACTGCATAAAAAGACTAAGACTCTAAAGTGAAACCCTAGAAAGTGAACAAACCCCTACAGTTTCACTATAAAAAGCATATTCTAGATACAAATTGGGGTACCTCCGACCGGATCTCAGAGATATGACGAACAACACATTTCTTTACTACCTACGGATGAAAATCGAATATAGAAAAACAATATATGCGAAATGAACAGCGTGAAATCGTGGGTACCTCCGACCGGATCTCAGTGATATGAAGAACACACGATGGAATCGACGAAAATGCGGTGGAATCGACCAACGAACTATGGAATCACGAACTTTACTGATAAAGGCTAGGGTTTGTGAGATACGAAAGAGATTTAGAATATTTGGGTCTTTTAATTTTGACTTAGGATATTTTAGATACAAATTGGGTGGGTATTGGGTTTGTGGGGCGGGTTCTTAGTTTATGGGTTAAAAGAAATGGAAAATCGGGTAGTTGCTTAGGATTTAGCCACGTGTAAAGAATGCGGGTGCCGTTAGTGAGAGGGACATATGTGCACCGATAATTGTCGGTAGGGGCTGAGATGGACGCAAAGTATAACGGAGGGCATAGACGTACCATTTATCAAAGTTCGGGGGTAAATTTGTCCTTTTTCCCTTTAGGATATTTTAGATACAAATCGGGTGGGTATTGGGTTTATGGGTTAAAAGCAATGGAAAATCAGGTAGTTGCTTAGGATTTAGCCACGTGTACAGAATGTGGGTGCCGTTAGTGAGAGGGACAAATGTGCACCGATAATTGGACGGCAGGGGCTGAGATGGACGCAAAGTATAACGAAGGGCATAAATGTTCCATTTATCAAAGTTCGGTGGTAAATTTGTCCTTTTTCCCTATATATAACTATGTGGAAATTAAGAGGTATTTGTATAAAATTAACATAGAGCACCCAGTGACCAAATGATCTAACTAGTCCATTGGCTCTTGGGTGGGTGCTTAAGGTTCTTTTTGTGTTGCTGAACCGGAGTTTGAATCTCACTTTTAACATGTCTCTTTTATATTTTTGACTCGAGCACCCATAACCTTAAAATTCTAGATCCGCCACTGGCTGCATACACACCACTCTCCCCAGACCTCACTTGTGGGATACTGGGATTACACTTGGTATGTTGATATCTCATAATTAATTATATTGAGTGGAGTTATTTCCAAGTTTGTCATCTTGTTCTTTTGTTAAACTTGGAAGTAACCACAAATTTCATGTCCAAACACAATATATGAGGCTTCTGTGCTCAAATAGTTGAGTAAAGTAGAATCTCTACTTCCTATTCAATCTCACCTAGAAATAACACTGCTGATAGGCTAGAAATAAGAAGTTAACAAGAAATCAGAGCTTTATCAGTTTGGTGGTGATGTAGCTTGACCTTATTTAAGAGCAATGCTGAAGAATCTTCGTTCTTTCTCTAAATTAAGTTTAGGTTTATCTGGTTTCATCGTTACAACAAGGCTAGCATACTTGTCCACTTGCTTATTGAGAATTTCAATGTTCTATGCGAAGATTCAGAACCATATTATTTTTCTCTCATTACTGAAACTTTGCTTGTCTCTTTAGTGGAAACAAGAGCATCTCTCTGTTTGCCTGTGACTGCAGCAACGAGGCTCTTGAGAGGGCTAAAGAGAATATTGAAGCTGCTAATATGAACTTGGCTAAAGAACGTTTTTATCCATTCCAATGTGATTTCTCTGCAAGTGGATTTCCAAACTGGTTAGTCTGCACTTCTTGCCGTGAAAATTTCTTCCAGAAGCAGAATATGTGCTCCTCAGGTCAGTAAACGTATCAATTCTTCTGCATTTCATTGTATATGCAAAGATGTGTTTTTTTTAAATCAACGTGTTTTGCTCACACAGATGCAAGAAGCTGCAGTAAGCAAGATTTCCCATCTGCCAAGAACAATAACTGCATTGGTGGAGTAGATTTTGTTACCTTAGTATGTGCATTAGTAATTATGTCTATAGACAAGGCTCTTCTTTTTCCGCAACTGTATTGGTTTCTACAAGAATCAAATGTCTAAGTATATGGATATGCTATTCTGCCAGATATTTACGCTATCAGCAGTGCCACTTCACAGGATGTCGAGAGCAATCACAGAATGTTTCTCTGTTCTAAAGCCCGGAGGACTGTTGTTATTCAGGGATTATGGTAGTAACCTGGACTAAGTTTGTATCTTCTAAATGATGGGATCTGTTTAGATTTTCTCCTAGTATCTGAATTTGGGGAATGTGAAACTCAGGTCTTTATGATATGACCATGCTTCGGTTCGAGCCAGAGCAAAGAGTAGGATACAGGGAATACATGCGTACTGATGGAACAAGGTCTTACTTTTTTTCCTTGGATAGTGTACGAGATCTTTTCTGCGGCACAGGATTCACTGAGGTATTATTTCCCAGGTGCTATTTTGTGGAACTACAGACAGGAATTTTGGTTCCATATTAACATATTTATGAACCTTTTTGCAGCGTGAGCTTGAATATTGTTGTGTCCAGTCTGTGAATCGACGGAATGGGAAGATCATGCGAAGAGTATGGATTCATGGGAAGTTCCAGAAGCCTCATGTCCACGTATGTTCTTAACCCTGTGGTTTTGATGGAAGAAAGTGAGCTTGCAAGCAGCTACATTAATGTTATCCTTGAGCATAAGAAACCGAAAAAAACAGATTAACATGTGTAATTTTTTACCCTTATATCCTCCTCCAACAGAGCTAAATCAAATATGTGTAGAAGTAGAATACTTGAGATAATGCCAGCACCTGAGATTCCTTTAAATGAAAGATTCAGTCATTTTCTAGTATGCATGCAAAGTGGCACTGTGTCTCTTGAAACATATTATGTGGTGCTGTGATTGTACAATGAGCTGCTGAAAAGAATGAGCAAAATTTTGACCAGATGGTCATATTCTTTCTGTTGACTCTGACAGTTTGTTATCTTAAGCTTGGGGCTGTTTTAACATTAGTTTACACTATGATGGTGCACGTCTTGGTTTGAGAACCTTCTCAAGGGGGATTTATTGTTGTTCCTCTGGAAGAGAATTTAATTGTGAGGAGTAAGTCAAATTGAAGGCTGGAAGTAAAAGATGTGTGTTGTCAATTAAAGATTTTTTACCTTGTCATTATCAGACATTCAATATTTGAATGTAGAAGATATTGCCATGCTACATTTATGGTATGAATGAATTGATGAGCAGTTATTTTCCCGCAATTATGCATGTGATCATACAACTGGGGAGAAAATTTTGAGGATTCATATAGCTGACCCAACTAGTTCAAGGCTTAGTAATTGTTGTATGTCATATCATTATTCAGTTTGCAACAATAATTTTAGAACTAAACATCACTTGCTAAGTTCTGGTTTTGCAGAACCAAAGTTGGTAAGTACTGTGACAAGCTGACAGCAAAGCTCTTGTGAGCCACTCATTTTTTCTGAAGAATCTTGTTCTTCATGTCTTCAATGAATTGATTGAGATTCTTCTCTGAAGACCCCTCATCAGAAAGTGCTTTCTGAAGGATCATCTTTGTTTTCTCTATATTTTTCCTCAATTCATCTGATTTACTCATTATCCTTCCAATATTCTCCGCTGCTACCTCCCTTCTGATTAATCTTCCTGTGCAAAGATTCACACCAATCCTCCAATCATCAACCACTAATTTTCTGTTAGTAAATTGATCTGTCAAAATAGGAAAGCACACCATTGGAACTTTACACCATATGCTCTCCAAGATTGAGTTCCACCCACAGTGAGTCAAAAACCCTCCAACTGCTGGATGTGATAGTACTGCTAGTTGAGAGCACCATGGCACAACCAATCCTCTACCTGCAGTTTCTTCCTCAAATCCAAGAGGCAAAATGTTTCTTTCTTCAGAACCTAAGATATTGTGACGTAGCACCCAAATGAAACTCACCTTACTTATCAGAATGCCTTGTGCTATTTCCAGAATATCCTGTTTACTCAAATTAATGAGACTACCAAATGAGATGTATAACACTGTACCATCTTGTTTGCTATTGAGCCAGTTGGTGTAATCTGATGCCGGAAGCAGGTTCATTGAAATTGTTCTCTTGGTGAAGCTTGTGGGGAAGAGTGGCCCAATTGCATAGAAGGGCTGCTTTTCTTGCAAGGCCGAGATAGGTGAAGACTCTAGCTCTTGCACTGTATTACCGATGACAAAGTTTGCTTTCTGTGCATCTTCAAGACACTTGAACACAAAACGGTGCATCACGGTGTTTGGATCAGCATCTTGAAAATATGAAGGTAAATCTGTTGGTTCAATGGCTTGGACTCCAGGTAAGTATCTAATGGTGTCTTCACACTTATCTGGACAAAATTATTACTCATCAGCTAATTGATTATGTAATGTAGGCTGTGATTAGACAGTAATAGCTTCAAGATATTTGGTTCATACCATGACACCCAAAGTGGCCATTACTCTTGAGCAGGTCCATGTGATAGTAGGCTGTAAGGACTGTTGCTGGTTCAGTCCAAAATGAAACATTGACAAGATTATATTTCTTGGAAATCGTTGATCCCCATACGTGGAAACTATCAGCTATTATACAAGAAATTGGCGGGTTTGGTTTTGAGAGGACTAGATTTTCAATGAAGTCATCCACATGAGCTTGGAAAACATGAATGAGACCTTCCACAAACTGGTTTGCATTGGCACTCCAATAGAAACTCAGAGGAAAACCATCACTAATTTTGGCATATCGAATGTCAAGACCGCATTTCTGTCCGTGGGAGAAAGGGTTGTCGTCATCTTTAAGTGACTGAGCTTTAGCTATCTGCTGGTGAGTTGATTCTGTGTTGACAAAGGTGATGGTAAAACCTTTTGAGGCGAGCTTCATGGCGAGATGTGTGAATGGAGTTATATGGCCTTGAAGAGGAAGTGGTACGAGTACTGCATGTGGCTGTAGGTGCTCCATTTAGTCCTAAAATATAGGAGATGGTTGCCTTTTTTGAGAAAGGTAAGTATATTATTGTTGATATAGCACCAAGGAAGTGCAGGGTAAAAAGTATATAGGAGTTAGTTGCCTTGTGTGTTTATGTAAGAGCTTGGAAGGAGATGGTGGCTTTATGTTCTTTGATGCAGAAATGTTTATTGTCTAAGTTGGTGTCTGGCTGTCCTTATAGCTGCATTTATTTGAATTTGGAGCCTTTCATATGTCATCCCTTAGGTATTTAAAGATAATGAGATAGACATGTCTTTTGTTTGGAGTGAATCCCGGCTTGTGGCTTGCAGTTGTTTATTTGTAAACACCGGATTGTGTCCTGTATTCATTTGTTTGATGTAAATACTCGTTGGGGTAACTTTTTTCAGTTAATCTATTCTTAAAGAAATTGAACTTGTTAGTGGTTGTGTCATCATAGACATAGAGAAGTGTGCCTTTCCAATAATTGCATTTGCATAATTGATTAATTGTATTGGTGTGGTCCCTTTCTTTCAAATTCAAACGTTTGTTCTTCCTTTTCTTTATGTTGGGCTAGGAATAATATGTTATGTGAACAGTATAGTTTTGCTTGTAATTTCTTTTACCTAAGTCAGAGTAAGAAAAATTATCTACCTTTACCCATCTACAAAATTTGCCCTCAAGAAATTACACAACATAGTTTTTTTTAAGTAAATCTTATCTCTACCTCGTAAGAGGTAGAAAGATTCTTTCCGAAATAAATAAGAAATAATAATCTTGGAAAAATGCACTGGGGAAAGAGATAGTGACTTATTTGTTTTCAAAAAAAGAGAGAAGATGATGGATTTGAAGGATTACCAAATCCAACACTAAAAAATGATTTAAATATCTTAGGGGAAAAGAAGACAATAAAAACATTGATGTGGGCAATTATAAAAGTCCACACAACAAAACATTTGCTACAGACAAAATCGGATATGAACGATTCTAATAAGATTTCATTTTTAAACAAAAAGTCATTTTTGATTTATTCATAATTTTGCTTTGCTATCCCATCTAGTGGTGTAGGATTACTAACACCATTTTCCAAGCTTAGATCTGACAATTAGAGCATAAACAAGATATTATGGGAACTCAATATTGAACGAAAGAACAATTGAATTCATATCAACACTAATCCACTCGAACCATCAAAAACTTTAAAAGTTAAGCACACTTAGGCGAGAATAGTACTAGTAGTATTAGGAGGGTGACCCTCTAGGAAATTTCGTGTTGCTTGTTAAGTTATATGATGTGCCTCCCTATATGGTCATCGACAATTCTCACCTTCTGAGATAGCTTTGAATATTGATTTAAACCCAATTATTTTTTTCCATAGTATCAAAGCAGATAAATATCCTGAATTCAAATCTCATCACCACTAATCATCTAGTTCATGAAAAAAAAAAAAACAAGCTCGCACTTGCTAAACATTGTCAATGTATCTTTTTCGTAATTTGTGTCTTTTGAATGATGGAATTTGCTTAGTTTTTCTCCTAGTATCTGAACCTGAGGAGTGTGAAACTCAGGTCTTTATGATATGACCATGCTTTGATTTTAGCTAGAGCAAAGAGTAGGATAGAGGGAGTACATGTGTTCTGATAGAACAAGGTCTTACTTCTTTTGCTCGGATAGTGTAAGATATATCTTCACGACACATAATTCACTGGGGTATTACTTCCCTTGGCTATTTTCTGGAATTATAGACACAAGTTGTGGTTCCATTACCAATAAAGTTTAACATATTTGTATCCAGTCCGTGAATGATGGAATGGGAAGATCACACGAAGAGTGTGGATTCATGGAAAGTTCTTGTAAGTTCACGACACTTTGGTTTTGATGGGAGAAAGTGAACTTGTAAGCAGGCACATTAATGTTTCATGAGCTTAAGAACTTTAAAAAGAGATAAACATAAGTTATTTTTAACCCTTAAAAATAAGAATGTCAATCCCTGAGATCCTATTGAAAAATGAAAAATTCTGTCCTTTTCCAAGTAGGAAGGCAGAGATGTCTCGTGAAATATACGAAATGGTGCTGAAGTTGTATAATGAGATGTAAGGAAAGGATGAAGAAAATTCACAAGATGGTGATATTCTTTGTTATCTTAAGCTTGAGGATGTTCTAAGGCCAGGTCACACTATGAAGGTGCAACTTGTTTTGAGAAGCTTCCCAAGGGCGAAATATCGTTGTTCCTGTAGTGTAATAGAATTTAATTGTGAAAAGTAAGTCGATATGAAGGCTGGAAGTAAAGGATGTGTGTTGTCAAATAAACTTTTCACCTTGTCATTGTCAGAGATTCTGGTTGTGAGGAGGATTCATATAACTCATCGCAACTTGTTTTGGACTGAGACGTAGTTGCTGTTGTCATTATCAGACGTAGATATTTTACTTGAGTATACAAAACAACTATACTGACATGCTATATAGACGTAGATCTCTTGCAATTATGCCATGCCTTTATTCAACTAGTTCAAATGGAACAGGGTAAATTGCGAGGATTCATATAGCTGACCAGACTAGTATAAGGCATAATAATAGTAATTGTATGTTATGCCATTATTCACTCCGAAACATTATAGAACTAATACCTCACTTGCTAAGCTACTCCATGAAAATACATCACTTGCTATTCTTTTGGCTTAACAGAACCGTAATAGGTAAGTGAGAATGTGATAAGAAGCTCAATTTTTCTGAAGAATCTTGTTCTTCATGTCTTGTATGAATTGGTTGAGATTCTTCTCTGAAGATCCCTCATCAGAAAGTGCATTTTGAAGTATCATCTTTGTTTTATCGATATTCTCCCTCGATTCATCTGAGTTATTCATTATCTTTCCAATATTCTCCGCTACTACCTCCCTCCTGATCAATCCTCTAGTGCAAAGATTCACACCGATCCTCCAATCATCAACCACTAATTTCCTGTTAGTAAGTTGATCCCCCGAAACAGGAAAGCACACCATTGGAACTTTACACCATATACTCTCCAAGATTGAATTCCACCCACAGTGAGTCAGAAACCCTCTGACTGATGGATGTGATAGTATTGCTAGTTGAGAGCACCATGGCACAACCAATCCTCTCCCTGCTGTTTCTTCCTCAAATCCGAGAGGCAAAATGTTTCTTTCTCCGGATACTAAGATATTGTGACGTAGCACCCAAATGAAACTCACTTTACTTATCAGAATGCCTTGTGCTATTTCCAGAATATCCTGTTTACTTAAATTAGCAAGACTACCAAATGAGATGTATAACACTGTACCATCTTGTTTGGTATTGAGCCAGTTGGTGTAATCTGTTGCCGGTAGCAGGTTCGTTGAAATTGTTTTCTTGGTAAAGTTTGTGGGACAGATTGGCCCAATTGCATAGAATGGTTGCTGCTCTTGTAAGGCCAAGATGGTTGAAGACTCTAGCTCTTGCACTGTATTACCAATGACAATGTCCGCTTTCTGTGCATCTTCAATACACTTGAACACGTATTTAGTCTCGTTTGGATCAGCATCTTGACAATATGAAGGTAAATCCTCTGGTTTAATGGCTTGAATTCCTGGTATGTAGCTAATGGTGTCATCGTACTTATCTGGACAAAAATGATAACTCATTAGCTAATTGGTTATGTATAATGTAGTCAGAAATTAGACTGTAATAGTTTCTAGATAAAAGGTTCATACCATGTCGCCCAAAGTGGCCATTTCTCTTGAGCAGGTCGGTGTTATAGAAGACTGTAAGCACTGTTGCTGGTTCAGTCCAAAATGAGACATTGACGAGATTATATTTCCTTGCAATCGTTGATCCCCATACGTGGAAACTGTCAGTTATTATACAAGAAACTGGTGGATTTGGTTTCGAGAGGACTAGATTTTCAATGAAATCATCAACATGAGCTTGGAAAACATGAGTGAGACCTATCATGAACTGGCTCGCGTTGGCTCTCCTGTCAAAACTCAGTGGAAAACCATCGCTGATTCTAGCATAACGAATGTCAAGACCAGATTCCTCTGCATGGGAGAAAGGGTTGTCGTCATCTTTAAGTGACTGAGCTTTAGCTATCCGCTGGTGAGTTGATTCTGTGTTGACAAAGGTGATGGTAAAACCTTTTGAGGCAAGTTTCATGGCAAGATGTGTGAAGGGATTTATATGGCCTTGAAGAGGAACTGGTATCAGTACTGCATGTGGCTGTATGTGTTCTTTTAGCTCCATTTTAGTCCTAAAATATAGCAGAATGTAGTTACTTTTTTTGTAGTATTAATATAGCACTTTGGAGTTTGGACTACATGCAAGAAGTATATAGGAGATGATTGATTATTTATATTAGTTCTTTGATGCAGAAGTGTGTCTAAGTTGGTGTTCTGCTGTATAGCTGCACTTGTGTGAATTTTGGAGCCTCTCCTAGGCTACCTCTTAGGAAATTATGGGCCATTATGTCATGCAAGGCACGTGTCTTGCATTTATTTGTCTGATGTAAAACACCGGCTTGTGTCCTGCATTCGTTTTTGTCTGTGTGTAAAAACCGTCTTGTGTTCTGCATTCGTTTTTGTTTGTGTAAACACCAAGCTCGTGTGTCGTATTTGTTTTTTTCGTGTAAACACTGACTTGTGTTTTGCATTCGTTTGTTTGATGTAAACACTAACTTGTGTTTTGCATTCGTTTGTTTGATGTAAACACCGATTTGTGTTCTAGATTCGTTTAGTAAATATTTCCTCCATTTCAATTTGTTTGTCTTACTTTCCTTTTTAGTTCGTTTCAAAAAGAATGTCGGGATATAGATTAGGCTATAAGGAACGGATGTCTCTTCCTTTTCTTGGCAACTCCTTAAGGTCGTTTGGTTGGGAATAAGTTATCCTCGGATTAATTATATATCGTGTGATAAGTTATCCCACCATGTATATGGGATAACTTATCCCATCACTATGGTATAAATTGTGGGATAAGTCATCTCAAACTTGACAACCAAACAAGACATCAAAATTTTATTCTTGGACTATTTTTTTATCCCAAGACTATTTATTTTTATCCCTCACACTAAAAGATCCCTTAATTCTAACTTTTCGCGTGACATGTTTAAGATCACTAGATTAAAGGATATTTTGGTACATTTTATATATCTTTAGTTTAAAATTACAAGACTTAAAAGTCTTCATTGCTTTCTTAAAATCAGACAAACAAATTGAAACGAAGTAAATAATGTCTGATTTGTTTCTAGAAAAAAAAACATGTAATGTGAATGATTTTACAAAATACAACACTAACAAGGGGTGCCACCTTCAAAAATGGACTTCAAATAATTTAAAGAAAAGAAAACACAAAAAACACATGATGATTTGGACAATTATAAAATTCTTATGATATAATTATTCATTTATTTGTACAAAGGAAGACTAGTCAACAAGAAATTAAGAATCAAGATCAAGATTTCTTGGACTGTTTTTTGAGGTTTAAGTAATCAATTAGAGCTTCAATCATTATAATATGAATGACATAATACATAAATGTGTTATTTAACTTAACCTCGTCTAAATACTTATGTCCTTTAATTTTAAGTATACACGAATAGACTTGTATAGAGGTACACACATGTGTCCTACTTAATAATTCACATTCTACACGGCATTTTACCTAACGTGAAACATAACATACTACAAAATCAATAATATCTTTTTATGAGTAATTATTATTTAGCTTTTGAGAGAGGAGGTCCGACTATCGACCCATTTTTTAACTTTGAAAATTTATGATGAAAATAGCAAAAACTTTATAAAAAGAAAATTGATGGTTATTGTAGGGTTTGCCAAAAGAAAAAAGAGTAGAAATCAACTCAAAAAATTAAAAATAAAATAAAATTAATAACATGGCAAATGACGATTGATGTGTAGTTTGCACATGATTTCTTACAACTGAAAATGAAAATGACCGAAAAAGCAATACATGTGTTACTTTAATTAAAATGATTTTGTGGGATAATAGGACCCTGGAAACTTTAGATATCAACTTAATAAAAGGTAAGGGTGTCAAAAGAATATGAAAAACTGATCGAATTTAATCTAACTAAACCGAATTGATTTATGTTATTTTTCAATAAAATCTTGGACTTTTATGTAAGTGTAAAACTGTCTCAAACAATTGGGATGGTCTTTTTAATATATGAAAAAATTGGAAAAAAAATCTGAACTGAACGGAATAACCTTACATGTATGTAAATATATTTTATATATTAACAATAATATGTTAAGTTTAATATATAAATATATTTTATTATTTTATAACATTTTTCAAATATAAATACTTCCCCTGTCTACTTTTATTTGTCATGTTGCGCTTTTCGAAAGTCAATTTGACTAATTTTCAAAGTTAAATTGGATTACATTAATTTGATATTTTAAACAAAAAATTTAGATATTCAAAAACTATACGAAAAGTACTATAAAATGCAATTTCTTGCATATCAATATGATGAAAATATACATCGTAAAATGATAGTCAAAGATTTTAGAGTTTGACTCTAAAAATGGAAACTATGACAATTAAAAGTAGACGGAGGTAGTATAACCTAGGTCCTAGACCTCTAGTGACTAGACGACTTTGGGTCTTTGCTATTTAATTAACCTTTACTTAATTAGGTTTAAAATTAAAAGATATTGTAATAGATAGTCTATCAAACAATATAGCGAAATCTATGCAAACACTCATATTGAATGTTTAAGATCAAACAATACGGCAACAATGTTTTACATTCTTGTCTTCTTGGTGAAGATTTAAAGTGCTTCTTCAAGAACATATATATTTTGCGAAAGAAATATTTTAGTAGTAGTATATTTTGAGGTGATATTTTAAAAGTAAAAAAATGAAAATTAACCGAGCCATACCGATATCGAAGAGAAACTAATATGATTGGGATGATTTTAAAAAAATCTAATTTTGATTATAGTAATACAAAATACTCGAAAAACTGAGATGGTATAGTTTTTAAAAAATAATCGACTGAACCATACCATTGACACCCTTAATAAAAAGTATAAGTTAGAGGGAACTTTATAATCAAACAAAATCATCATTTCTAATTCATCATCCCTATTTCCTCATTAAAAAAAAAAAAAGAATGGCATGTTGCACTAAACCATAATGCCCTTAAATTGTATTTTTCTTATTCAAATTAATTGAGATAAAATGATTCTCTCAATATAGCTTAACTTCGTCATGCCTGTTAAGTCTGTAAGAATAGTGAAGAAGTATTTTCATTGATAACATGCTTCTCAATGAAATTTTTGCTAGAGTTAGACCAATATGTATAGTTCATAATTTTGCCACAAGACTTGATGTTGCCTACTTTCAATTTATACAATATAATTAATTGTTTATTTGCAGAAATGAAGACTAGTCAACAAGAAATTAAGAAGGCATAATACATAAACATGATTTTTAAGTTGGCGTTAGCTGACAACTATGACATTTAACTTTAGGTGTGCACAAGTAGACACTTAAACTTGTATAAAATTGAACAAATACACACATTCATCTTACATGGCACCCTACATGGCAATTTTGTGTCCTACATGACGTCCTACATGTATTATGCCATGTAGGATGCGTGTGTCTATTTGTTCAATTTTATACAAGTTTAAGTGCCTACTTGTGCACCAAGTTAAGGGCCATGTTTATATATAATGCCAATTAAGAATCAAAGGTAAATGACTATTAATGTATAGTTTACACATAGTTTTTTACAACTGAAAATGATCGAAAAAGAAATATATATATATATGCTACTTTATTAAAACGATTTTGTGGGGATAATAGAAGAGCAACTTTCACATAGAGCAAACAAAAAAATCATATTTGTATGCTATAGCAAAGTTTGCATAATTGCGCTACATAACAAACATATTTATGTATAATTCGCTATACATATACAATTGAAAGCTATGTCTATTTCGCTATACATATATATAAAAAGAAGCAATTATATAATTTGTTGGCTCCTCATCAGATTTGTATAATTTCGCTGGCAGGCCATTTGTATAAATTGTTGTTAGCCTCTCGTTTGTATAAATCGTTGACAAAAATATTTGTATATCAAAAATCGCTCTCTCTTTCGCTTTATACAAACATAAATTAAACATTATACAAACATAAATTATACATTATACAAACATAAAACTGGGCAGGGGAATATTTTTATTGTATAATTATAAGTGTATAGGACGAATATATATGTATTTGCATGTGTATATACAATTTTCTCGCGCTTTATACAGAAAACTGGGCAGGGGAATATTTGTATTGTATAATTACAAGTGTATAAGATGAATATATATGAATTTGCATGTGTATATACAATTTTCTCTCACTTTATACAA